GAGCCCCAAGGTGGTGCTTATGGTGGTGGCTGCCAAGAAGCTCGTGAGCCGGGTGCAGGTTGCGCCCAAATCGCACTTTGACGAAACCGTGCTGTCCGTGGTGTACACCTCAGAGCCCATCGAGGTCTCCAGGTTGGAGGAGACCTTCAGCAAGCTGAGGGAGTCGGCCAAGAAAGAGATGCTGGAGGTGATGCAGATGGGGGTGGAAGATCTTTTCCAGGAGCACCAACAGACCTGGTCTGACCTGTTCATTTCAGGTAAGGAGAGTGATGTTCAACTTCCAAAGGGTTGCTTTAAAGGGCAGCTGAAAGCTCAGTGACCCAGTTACTCTGAGGTCTCCCGAGACTCTGCTCTTTGTGATGGGCTTCTCTTGGGAGCCAGAAGGCACCTTGTGGGATAATACAACAGCGTTCCTGGTCTGGAACCCAGCAAACTTCAAAAAAGTGGAGTATTTCTTACTGCATAAAGGAAATGATGGAAGAACATTTCTAATCAAAACTCTGGGTGTGCTGGCTTTCATGTCAGCTCTAAGTTAGAAATAGAGTTGACTTCTAGTGACAGTATAAAGGATAGATTTCTTCATGGAAGTTAAGGAGTGTCCTACAAGGATACTTTTTATTCAAATAAGATTTTAACAGCCTTGCTTGAAAGAGTAGCTGCCCAGGTAATGTAGAACTTGTGGTTTTATAGTGAGTAAAACGATAAGAGGTTCCTTTGACAGATCATTCTTGTGGAGTCTTGGTGACAGCTCCATAAGGCATCTGTATATCAAACTAACTTTGCCTTTCATGGGAGCTTGGCTTTGAAACTCTAAGGAGTAGAGAGAGCATCTAAAAAAACACAAGGAAACATTTCACTTCAGTGTTTCATAGGCAAAGATTTCTTCGATGTTACAAAGAACACCCGTGTATTGAACGACAACATACAATACACATTTGATCTTTTTTTTTTCCTAGTTAGTCATATTCACGTGTGATCCTCTAACTCTTGGTTGTTTTCTTTTATTACAGGGGTTGAAATGCGAAAGATCACAGATTTGCACACGCCATCCAGTGAGACTGTTAACATGACCCTCTACTATGTGCTGTCAAGCATGCCAGCTCCTCTGCTGGACCCGCTCATCAGTGGTGAGGACAGAGAAAAAATGGAAGCCAGCTTGAACTATGCTGACCACTGCTTCAGTGGCCATGCGACCATGCATGCAGAGAACCTATGGCCTGCAAAGCTGACCAGTGTCACCCAGATCTTGCAACTCTCAGACCTGTGGAAGCTAACGCTCCAGAAACGGGGATGCAAAGGTCTTGTGGCAGCTGGAGTCCATGGACTTATGCAGGGAATGGTGCTTAGTTTTGGGGGTCTGCAGTTCACAGAAAACCATCTTCAGTTTCAGGCTGACCCTGACGTACTTCATAACAGCTATTCTTTACGTGGGATCCATTACAATAAGGACTTGATTAATCTAGCTGTTCTGCTGGATGCTGAAGGAAAGCCCTTCTTGCATGTGTCTGTGAAATTCCAAGACAAGCCAGTTAGACTGTATGCGTGTGAGGCAGGCTGTATGAATGAGCCTGTGGAGCTGACCTCAGAGGCACGAGGTCATACATTCCCTGTCATGGTGACTCAACCCATCACACCACTGCTTTATATATCGACAGATTTGATCCACTTGCAGGACCTGAGACACACACTCCATCTTAAAGCTATTCTGGCTCATGAGGAACACATGGCCAAGCAATACCCAGGCTTACCCTTCCTGTTCTGGTTCAGTGTGGCCTCCTTAATCACATTGTTTCACTTGTTTCTGTTCAAACTCATCTACAATGAATATTGTGGGCCAGGAGCCAAGCCGCTCTTCAGGAGCAAGGTATAAGGCTGCTGCTGCTTTTGGCTGCTGTCCACTGAGTGTTGTCAACCTGATTTTCTGTCAGCTGTGCCTGGGGAGGTTCTGTCTTGGACTGTGAGGATTTTTGGTCTCTCTTGCAACAAATGATCTGTGACCTCTTCTTGCAAGAAGTAGGATTAGGGCAGGGATTGGAGTGGTAGGCTCACAAAAAAAAAAGATAAATCCATCATCTCTACTTCTTAAACAGTTGTAAGGCTGCAGATCAAGGCAGACACAGCTTTTCTGTCCCTTTTCCACACCTTGCTGTAGGATGTTGCTTGTTTTTAAGCCAACAGTTGCAGCTGTGTCATGAGATGATGTCTTTTGTTATGCAGTATGAGAATGCTTGTGAGAGAGCTGCTGTACTTGTCTTTACTGCTGTGTGGGAGATGTGCACACTTGTCTGCCTGGTTTGAATGTGTGTGGTGTCATACAGGAACACACAAAAGCAAGCTGGTGTTCTCAGGTCAGGGTGGTGACTTGTTGAGACTACTGGTAAATGTTCATAGATTTATAGACACTGTGCAGTCCTCCATCAAACCACATTTACCACCAACATTTTGGCAAAGTGCTGAGCTAGTGTTTCTCCCGTTCAGACAAAATACATAGCTGTGTTAAGAAAAGCACTGAATTCTTTTTACAGTACAGGAAGTTGGAGGTTCTGACTTCAAGCTCTACTGCATCTCACTTTGGCGTAAAGGATTTGAAATTTTTGAGTTGCCTTAGAAAACTTAGTTGCTAGTAAAAACTTAGCACAGAATAGATGATAGACAGTGATTTCTGCTCTCAGTACTGGTACTTTCTGGTTGCATGTTGATACGGAGCAGAAATGAAAGACAAGACTGGATTTTCTGTGTGAGCTAGCCCTATTGTTCAGAGACATCCCTCCTTAGGGCTGAACAGTTACATGTAGCTTGCATTTTTTTTTTTTTTAAAAAAAAGGGAAATAAAAAAGGACATAGTTAAATAGACCTGTCAGAGAAAAAGTTCTAGCTTTAGATCGCCCTGTTTTTCCAAATTCTAAAAGCAAATTCAGTTTTGGATAAGCTAAGGCTGGACAGAAGGTACTTGACTAAACTTGACTACATAAGGGGTGTTTAAAGCGAGTTGGGAATTTTCCTCTCAGCACTGGAGATCAGGCCTGATCCCAAGCAGGTCTGAATACCTGTCATCCATTGAAATAATGAAGGTGCTTGTGGCTAGACAAACTAACCTAGGAAGAGGTAGGATAGATATGTGTATCAAAGACAACTGCAGTTATAAGCCTGTGATCATGATCAAGACCTTAGTGCAAAAGGAAGAGGAGGTCAGGAAGTGATTTCAGTTATTGTGTACATAGCTGTGCCCTGATGTGTCCTGAAACATGTCCTTTAAATTATAAAATTATGTCCCTTTTTCACTGCTGTCTATCTGGTTGCCTTCATCACCTACAAGACTTGCCTTCCACCTTTTACAAAATGACTTGTTAACCATTACTACAGATAACTGTCCCTGACACTATGCTCTGAAACGCTGAGAAGCTTCACAGCTACACACCAGGGCTGATGTGACACCTCTTCCTTCTTGACACTGCAAAAAACCTTGCAGTGTACAGCAAACAAGTCTGTTGCCTCGTCTTAAATGGACCTACTTAAAACGAAGATGATGCAGAACTTGATTCCAGAAACAGAGATGAAGTGGAAGCCAGCTGAAGCTCAAAATCTCTGTAGCAGTAAACAAGATAAATGGTGTTGAAATAACAGTCTGTTTCCTTAACTGAGTGGGAACATCCTCGTGTCCAAGTGAACTTAGTCCTGCTTTCAGCCTCCATTTGCACGAGACATCTGACAACTTTGCAGCTGAGAACAAGGACCTTTTGAAAGCAACAATCCTTTTGTGCCTTGTTAAGAGAGGAATCCGAGACTTGGAAGGTGTGGTTATTCAAGAGTTTATCCCAGAAGCTTGTGTAACAAATGTTTCTTTTTCCTTGTAAGCTGTTCAGTTCCCTACTGAGTAATCCATTTGGTGAAAATACTTGAAGATACACTAAGTCCTTTGACATTTTGATTTGTTTTTTAATTTTACAGGAAAACAAATAATTATGTTCCCTTCAGAGAGTTAACTAGAAAACTTTAGTGTAACTTACCTTCTGATATACATTTTTTAATTTATTGCTTGGGGGGAGGGGGAGGATGTTAATAATTTTTCCTCCATTTCAGTTAACAAGTCAGTCAATTGAAGTGTAGATATCTAAGTGCTGGTAACAGGTTTTTCAGCCTTTATGATTGTAGAGTGCAAAACCAATTTAATTAAATTGTTTTCTGGATTTACACTTGGAAATGCTGATCTGCAAGTTTCCTATTCTAAGCATATTGAGACTTTGTGCATTGGTTTGTTTTGGCTATGGGGGAAGACATCCCACTTTCTAGTGATTTAAAGGTCGTTTGGTTTTAAAAATACCAAAGCTGTTGTTTCTAAATAAATATCTTTCAGTCTAATCTGATTGCTAAAGTGTGGTTGAGTTTTTTGGGGGGGGTTTTTTTGGTCTCTCTTGTTTCCTCCCCTTGCTCCCCACCCAGTTAAAGCAAGCAGTGCCTTATGTTACATCTATGGCTGGTATTGACTACAAAAGTGCTTGGATTAAAAGGAAATACAGTGTGGAAAATAATACATAAATGGATCTAAGCTGGGAACAGACAATTTGGAAGGCACAATAAGAGACAGAAACACTCAGGGTGGTGCTAATGTCCATTTCCTGGGCTCTATCTTGAGGCATGCAGGCCAAGCTTTAGTTTTAAGAACACAGAAAGGAACCCAGGGAACAATCAAGTAGCATATTTAATGGCCATCCAGCAAGTAATGAATTTGGCACATTTGGTGTTCCCAATGAAAAGCTAGGGCAGGATTTAACTTTGAATTTTTAAATAGGTTACTGTCTAGTTTCAGATAAAAAACCCTCAGAAAGCAGATTACTAATTGGTCTAGCATAGTTACTACCCTACAAGGGAACAGACTAAAGATAGGGAGGCAGTGGAGTACGTTGTAAATTGTACACCAAGTACGTTGTGTTTTGAAAGAGATACTAGCTTTTATGCTTTAACAGAACATACCAGAAGTTCCTGCTCTTTCTTTCTGAAGTTCCATGAGCTGCTTAGTTTCTGTAAAACATCTGGCATGAAGATGATAAGAGCTTCCAGGGCACTGTTTCCAAGTCAACATGGTATGAGCTGGAGGCTGAGCCTTTTGATGTTCGTTTGCAGAACTGACAACGACAGTGTGATGCCCACTGAGTCCAAGAAAGATACTTCAGCCTATTTAGGCTAGACCTGGAAAAGATGGATAAGCAACTGTTACATAAAGCAGGAGTAGAACACACACACACACAAAAAAAAAAAGCTTTGAGAGTGTTTCACATTAAAAAAGTTATTATTCTTATGAGTGTTCCCCCCATATAAAAGAACTTTCAGAATTCCTTTGCAAAGAAGAAAGGGGAAAAAATAATAGGTTTCTTATTTACAGTGTGCAAGATAGCAGAAGGTTGGATTTGTGAAATTGTAAAAATGCTTTAAAAATGTTTAAAAAATTCCTTGTTTAAAAGCACACCCCACAAAACAGGAAAGCTGAAATACTAACTGAACATCCACAATTTATACTTAATTTTGAGTTGGTATTCAATGAAAATGATGGTGGCATGGAAGTTAAACTGAAAAGCATAGCATGTTGTTTAGCTTGTACACTCAGACATTAAGAAGAGCCAACTAATTAATGAAAAAAAAAATTAGAATCAATTCTGCACTCAGTTAATCTTGATTTATGCTTTTGTCAGATAATAAATACAAGATGCCACAGCAGAGTTTGGTTGATTCTATTTGAAATTCAGAATGCAGCTTTCTCAAGTGGTATTGTCTGGGTAGGATAATACATTCTTGAGAAGCAGACAAAACAGCAAAGCATTATATATTTCTGCCTTCCACATGTGTGCTCCAGGCATCCTCCATCCAAACCAGTACCTACTGCTGAATGGAAGCTATGAAATCAGTGCTGCTTGTTAAAACTGACATTAAACAATAGATTTATTTCAGCTTTTTTGAAACCTCTAGTTTGGTCTGTATGTACAATGCAACTGGCATTATGATATTCGTTTCCATTCTAATAAGTTTGCTCCCTATCTGTGACCTGGCTTATGGGACAGAGATGTTTGGTTTTTAACAACCAGTAACAGCTTTTCAGGTAAAGTGGAGGCAGATGGAAACATGACAGAGGATGGAAAATTCCTGTCATCAAAGAAAAAAAGGAAGAAAGAGACCCAAGGGTAAGTGTTGATACCAAGTCATGGATCTCAAATGTCCAGTTATGAATTAGGACACTTTCTCTTGTGGCAGCAGCTCTGTAGTGGTCTAAATGCCTGCTCTTGCCTGGTTTGTCCTATTAGTGAAAATAGTTTACCCTTTGTCATTAACAAGCTTACGCTGCATGATACCACAGGCCACTATGCTGATTTGGGGTGTAAAAATGCTCATTTGCAATGCTACAGGAACTTTGTTCTCTTCCAGGGATGTGCTACTGATCTAACAATTAGAGGTAAATATGAAAGAAACGAAGTCTGGCTCACGGTGCTACACCAGTGTTTTTCTCCATCATCATGGACAGCTGGTTCTTTGTATTGCTTGAAACATCTTCCACTTCAAAGCAATTATAGTTTGTTTTATTGAAAAAGCATGGCATGCTAAAACACACGCAACTTCATCTAGAAAAGAAGATACAGGTTTTCAGGCAGTGCAAAGTGGTAGTTGCCATTCAGTCACAAAACAAACCAGAACAAAATGAAATTTCAAGCAATCATGGAATCGCACAATAATTATGGTTGGAAGGGGGTCTCCAGAGATCACCTAATCCATCCCCACTGACATGTCTGTATCTATCACTGTCTGAATATATCAGACGCTGTTACTGCTGACATACCACCAAGTGTTAGAATAATTCACTTAACATTTTCCTTCTGAAAACACCTTTGTGATGAACTTTCAAGGCAATGGGAAAGCAAACAGCTGCTACAGATTATACGCAACTCCGAACTTTTTTTTTTAACCAAGTTGTTTTTATAGCCTGGATCCAAGGACCATCTAAACTGATGGTTTTTTAGACACTTGTGCATATAAAAAATTATCCCACAATTACGTGAGTTTTCCATTGGCATCAGAATAGCACTGCATTTTAAGTCACATGTCGCAGAGATAAATGATAACCCATAAAATGTCTTGCAGAGCAGAGCCTGCAGCATACAGCTAACCAGCATCATGCTCGGAGTCCTCCTCGCTGTACTGACTCTGGCAGCTGCAGGTGCGTACCTAATTTCAGCATTAGTTTTAAAGGAAAAAGTAATTCAATCTAACAGCAGCTTTCCTTTTTTAGGGGAATCAAACATTCTGCAGCAAAGCAGGAAGAGATACAGCACTGGAAGTTAATTTAAAAGTTCTCTCAAAACAGTAACTAGGTGCTGTGCTATTCTGTTCTTGTTCTAGGGGCTTGATAAGCTTTACTCAGAGCAGCCCTTAGCAAATTCAAAGGTTTTTTTACTTAGCTTGAATACACTGAAATACAGTTAATCCACATCAAATTGTTGCACTGGCTAAGAGCTGCATCTCAGCTGACACATGAGAATTTGGTTAAGCCAACTTGATTTGATTATCTGTCAGAAAAATGAAACGTTTCCAACAGGCTTTATATAACATTGGTCAGTTGTGACTGATGGCTGCATCCTCACTGGCATCACATTAAATCACAGCCCATCTTTGTACCTTGCAGTGTTCTGTACAACACAGTCTATACTTAGAAAAAAACCCCTCTCTTACTGACATTTTTTTAAAACCTCCTTCTTCTAAACTACACATCCTATTCTGTATGTCTTCTAGCTTTTGGCTGCGGGGTTCCTGCCTACCCACCCATTGTGTCTAGAGTTGTTGGAGGTGAAGACGCGAGACCGTACAGCTGGCCCTGGCAGGTTGGTCATTCTGTGATTTCTCTGGAACAGTGAGGGTTGTGCTATCCTCACACAACATGGCTGGACAAAACCAGGTCCTATATTTCATTTAATGCATCTTGTCTTAAGTTTTGAATATGACATTCTGATCAATCCCAAAGTCTCCATTCCTTTTAACAAAGCTCTGAATGTGCCACCTCTTGCTGGTTATGCAGGCTTTCATGTTCTTTCAGGAGTCTCGGGCACCATCCCACATTTAAGCAAGATGACTGTGAAATTCAGTGGAGCATACTGTGCCTACTGGAGCGTAGTTGTATATGGAGTTAAAAACCACATTTCTAAAGCAAATGAAATGCTCTGTTTGGGCCAGGCTTAGCGAGAGCTTTGGAAGAAACAACATTAAAAAAAAATCAAGCTTTTGGATGTTAGGGAAGAAGAGAACCTTTTCTGTGGCCAGGAGTTGGAAACTTGTTGCTTAAAAGCCTCACACCATCTTCCAGCAGCAAGTTGTGTTCTGGGTGTAGGAAGAAAGCGCAATAATCAGAAAAATCAGTTAACAAAAATCTGAGCCTTACTTGATACGTTGATCCTAGGCCTCCCTTCAGTACAGTTCAAATGGCAAATGGCGTCACACCTGTGGAGGAACCCTCATTGCAACCAACTGGGTGATGACAGCTGCACATTGCATCAGGTAAATAGTGGAGTTAAAGTCTGTACCCAGGAAGCACTGCATGACCAGAGATAGATGAAGCAAAACTGTATTAATGCCAGTTCTCCCTTTCCCTATTGAGAGCTCAGATTTTCACACAGTATCTTTTGATTGTAACTAATAAGTCAGAAGAAGAAACGCACCTTTGAATTTTCTTAGAATAAAAGTGGAGGGGAAAAATCTCCTCATACAATTACCTGAATTACATACTTTCCATTTTCTGTAAATAACTACAGACATCATTATGTTTTCAAGTTGCTGTGTTGCCTGTTTCTATAATATATGTGGCAGTGAGATCCACAGATTAACTAATCAATACACTCCCTGAAGAAATAATCACAAATGTTTTGAATGTACCAGTCTTTTACAGTAAGCTCTTCGTATTATGGGGCAGTATAACACAGAAATGATCAGGTGCAGCTATGCCCAAGCATCAAAACTGTTTCCACAAAGACAACCCCATTTTGATTTGAAATGAGAATTTCATTCTTATTTTTGAATGAAATAAGAAGGGTTGGCTGCATGTTATTATTATACACCCTACATATTGTATCTATCACTCCGTTGTTTATCAGTGAAGCTGTTTATCACTGTCAAAAAAGCAGTCCAAATTTTTTATTTCATTCAAGAATACAAGCTGAATCCTGGAAAGATTGGAGGCAACTTGAGTTTGTAAATGAAGCCTTAAGCAGGAGTTGACAGGACAGCTTGGAGATGAAATGGTTATTAAGCCCAGCACACAATGCTTTGTCCTTTGCAAATCAATCAGGCTTTGGCTCAGCTCCAGACAAATCATGCATGTGATACGAGATTACAGCCTTAAGGATATTCTTACTGAATATCTCAGGTGGCAAAGATGCAGATGCCTAAGCAGCAAGCCAGCAGCTGCATAACTGAGTGTTAGTCCTTTTCTTGCCCAGTTCTTCTAGGAAATATCGAGTATTTCTTGGAAAATACAACCTAGCAGCTGAAGAAGAAGGATCAATTGCCCTTTCTCCAGAAAAAATCATTGTCAATGAGAACTGGGATCCACAGAAAATTGCAAATGGGTAAGTTGGTGGCAAGTATTTTTTCAGTTATTAGAGGCAGGGCAAAAATCAAACTATCTGAATCCCACCCACCCTGAGATGTGGCAGTTAAATGCATAAATGTTTAGAGCCTCCTGTTACAGCTTACAGTGATGTTTCTACATGTTTGCTCATAGATGAGAGTTGAGTCTCCAGTCTGTACCTTTCCCCTTCAAGAGAAGATAAAGAACTTTAAAAATTAATTGCTTATTGATTATCTTTTCAGATGCCATTTTGCATGTTTATGCTTGAGTGGGAAGCTGTTCCATGCAATAATTTCTTTTGTACAGTGAAAGGGAATGAATCAATTTATACAACACTCTTTGAAGCCCTCCTATGAATGTATAAACATGGCAGAACCTATAAAAGGCAATTTCCAGAAAGCTGCCAGCAGGAAAGTGGACAGTTCTGCAGGGAATAGTCTTCCAGTCCATGGATTTCCCCATTGCTTTGCGGGTGGAGGATATGTACTGGCCTCCTTGCTCCCTTGTAGCTCTTCTGAATAGGCCAAGTGCTGTAGAACTGCTAAATATTCATGCTACTGAGTCTTAATCTATTTGCACACCTCTTCACTCTTTCTCTTCCCCACTCTCAAATGTGTGCACATGACCACAGGTATGACATTGCTCTGATCAAACTCACTGAACACGTCACCTTGAGTGACCACATTAAGCTGGCCTGCCTGCCCCCTGCACAAAGCATCCTATCATCCAACACTGCCTGTTATGTGACAGGATGGGGACGGCTGCAGAGTAAGTACTTGGACATTTGCAAAATAGTGGAATAAAGCCTTTGAGTCCTGCCTTCTCCTTTGGGATGGATTGGAAAAAGGCTGTTGATGGTGCTCAAGACCACCTCAACTTAGTGTAGTGAGAGGTAGTTTATCAGGCCCCACTTCACTCACACAGTATGATTTTTTTCTCTGCCTTTCAAGTTTAGTTTGCTTGTAATGGGGCTAGTACAGCGCCAGAGGGCCCTGTACTAAACTGTTACAAGCTATTGTAACACAAATTTAACAGTGTGCAGACTGGTGAATTTGCTAATCCTAACATACCCTGCTGAATAACTGAAAAGACACATAAGGGAATAGCTGTAAGGTGAAGAAAATCTCAAAGACTTCAGCAGAAGTTTCAGCTCGGGTTTACAGGCAATTCCTAGAGTGAGAAGTAAATGGCAAACTCCTGAACAAAGAACAGCCTTTTATTTCTCTAACAATGAGACATTTTTAAATGGAATGCAAATTATTAGTCAATTAAGGCCTTTATATATATGTATAAATATATAACTATATAGATATAAAAATATATAAAATAATAGAGCTAAGGAATAGATTATACAGCTTCTCCTTTAATAGAGCCCCTGTGGAGTTTCTTACCTGGCGTGATAGCACCCAGATCCTGGGAGAAACTTAACAATGCAGTTTTGTTCTTTCTTCAGTGCCAGCTGGTACTATGACTCCTTTGTTTCTATTTCCTCCCAGCAAATGGAGCTCTTCCAGATGACCTGCAGCAAGGACTTTTGCTGGTGGTGGATTATGCAACTTGTTCCAGTCCTAGCTGGTGGGGAAGCACAGTGAAACCCACCATGGTTTGCGCTGGTGGGGATGGAGTCACCTCCAGTTGTAATGTGAGTCCAGAGAACACCACTCTTAGGGCTTTGTTTCAGACACAAACAGGCCTGATGGGAAGGAAAGTTTAAAAACAGCAATGAGGAGCTATTCACACTATGACTGCCATTAACTGTGTTCCCCCTTCCTCCTAGGGGGACTCTGGTGGCCCACTGAACTGCCAAGGTGCTGATGGCCGGTGGGAAGTGCATGGTGTCGTCAGCTTTGGCTCTTCTCTTGGCTGCAACTATTACCACAAGCCTTCCGTCTTCACTCGGGTCTCTGCTTTCAACAGCTGGATCCAGCAGGTAAGGTGCTGGGTTCTGCTGCTAGAGGATACAGACACTTGGCTACTTCTGAGGTTCTCTCTGACTGAGATTTCTGTCACCTGCTCAGGGACCTGTATCACTTTTGACTCAAATGCTACTTTACATACAAATAAAGTATTTAAGGGCTCTGTAGAAAAGCCCTTACCATTTAAAAAAGCAGTCTTTGCAGCAAAAAAAAAAAGCAGCATCCTCTTCCTAAATAGTTGTCCAAATTATTTTCACTTTTAAATAAGTCTTGATGTTTATGAATGCATTCTCCCACTATATTAGAGCTATAAATATAGTCATAAAGATTTTACTGGTATGACTCCAGAAGTGATTACTCAAATTTATATTCACCAATAACACTAATTGTTGCAATTGCATCCTAGAAGGCAGCACACGCTGCTAGAGTCTGGAACATCAGTTATTTTTTAATTTAATATAATCTTTAATCTAAAAAGTGACTGATCTTATTTCAGTTATTTAAATCATGCATCTTGGTTGCAACATCTACTATTTACAAATTCCTGAGACTCATGATCTGATTTTTCACTTGTTTTATATTTTTGTAGGTTATGGCAACCAACTAATCCAAAGAGAACTGGATGATAGATGCCAAGAAGGAAAACAGTTTGAATAAAGTCATAATCATGACACCTTTGATCACAAAGAGCTGGGAAATTGTGCTTTTAACAACACAAGTATTACACCTAACCATACTGCAATAAACACTTTTTTTCGCAAGATGAAAGAAAAACATGTGTCCCTGTCACTTCTTCCCCTGTATTGTCAGGACTGGAGCCTGTATTTAGCGATAATGCCAGAGACCTTTTAGAGCCCTTCCCCTGCCTTGGTCTGGAGCTTGCTACCCTCACCTGGGGGAAGACATGAGCCTGCTGTGAAGAGGCTGGGCAGTGGGAAGAGTTACAGAGCCACAGGAACAACTCTGGGGTGACAAAGTGAGGCACTGGCAGGGCTGGAGGCAGCGGGCAGGCAGCTGGCGGGACCCCTGAGTCTGCGAGCGGGACTCAGCAGAGCAAGCAGTGGCAATGCCCAGCGGGAAGGCAGCACGAGGGCAAGCAGGTCCATGCAGGTGAGTGTGGGAGTGCTGCAAAATGCTTTTACAGAGAGGTTTTTAACACCCTGTCATCTTGGGACTTAGCAAGGGGAAGGGTAAAGTCTAGCAGTGAGTGCTGGCAGGATCTCTGCAGACCTATCTCCTTCACATGCCCGTTGCTTGTTTTTAAGTCATTCAGATGGCAGGTGAAGACCTCTGAACTGGCACCGTGGGCTGACACAGACACAAATGGGGATTTTTTGCAAAGCACAACCAGAATCACCACCTTTTAGCCTAGTGCTAAATTAAAGTACTAAATTAAATTAAAGTATTTCTTTCATTAAACTAAAAGGTAGGCAGTATAAAATCAAGGTGGATTTTTGTTGTATTTTTCTTCTCCCTCCCGGCACGTATTTTGGCAGATTCAAAAGTAAAACAACTGATTAAAAATGGAGGACAAGCAACTCAAAGGTAAGCAGTAGATAGCATAAGGAAAAGCTTGGAAGTTTGTTGTGAGAACAGAAATGCATGTGAGTTTGGAGATAATTTTTCTAAACTTGCTGTTTCTTTCAGTCAGATATTTTGCAGCTGTTACCTTTGAATTGAAAATAAATAAATAAATAAATAAATGTAAATTGTATTCAACAAATAAAAGAAAACATGGCTGTTTATCATCTTTGGGGACTGTACTTCTATTACTTTTCTTCTACTTTACAACCATTAACCACCATTCTGCTGCAGAGAGCCCAACAGGAACTTGTTTTGCCTAATATCAGCCGCTGCTGAGAAACAACAGGCTTTATTGGGTTTTTATTTATCTTATTGAAAATGTAATTTCACCTGTTTGAAAGAGCAGGTAATCTAAGGAGAGCTTTTTTCAATCTGCTTTACTATGCAGAGAAAAAGAGAAAAAAAAAAAACAAAATAAAACAAAATACTGAGCTGAATGGACTGACCAGTAACCCAGTCCCCTGGTTTGTTCTTTATCAGTGGAAATAAGGGTTGCCCAGTAATTCAGGAGTCACCAGCTTCAGCATAACAGTTGTTTTCAATGAGTATCATTAATGTAAGATTGTAAAGGATTGATTAATAGTTCTGAAAATGAAAATCATTAGAGGTTACTTTGTTGCATGGAACATGGATGTCAATTATGTGCAGCATGAAACAGAAGGACAGAAAAGGTAATAATGAAGCTCAAACAGTAAAATTGGATATGTATATGCTTCTGTAAAAACTGAAATGGAACTGAAATTTGATTCATTTTCCTTTTGAAATATTTAGACAATACTGTGGAAACATCTGAGTCATTTGAGTATATCAACACAAATTATTAATTATCTGGAAATTCCTATTAAGAACAAATTTTAAAAGTTCTAAAAAAAATTCAACGGTTCCACTTTGTGATCACTGAAATATGTAACCTATCTTTTCAGGGACTTGCTTAAGATTTGGACTGAGTACCACAGAGAATAAAACCTACACCAAATAATTGTATCAGTCTTAACAGTCATAGAAAAACTGATATGTTTTTGCAGCTCTGTTTCATGTGGTTTTGCAGCTCTGAGTGTGTCACAGAAACAGTTTCTTTACCTTTTCTTTTAAAATAAAATGTCAGATGGAACAAAACCCAATAAAATATGTCTTTCAATAATGTACAGCTAATGCATGATCCCTGTACTTTCTTTCAAAATGTATGTGAATTGTTAAACATCATACTAGCTCCAGTCATGTTTTCAGGAGCTGCAAGAAACACCCCAGGGATCAGAAACCATTACTCTTTTTTTTTTTTTTTAAATTCTTTCTTTTTAGATGTTCTCCCCACTCCAATGCTGGTAGTAGGAAAACAGTTCAAAGGATTTTGACAGCATGCATGGTCTCCTTCTGCAGCCTCCTTGGAGCTATTTCTTTTGATTTGAGCAACAGCTTGGAAACATGGAGAAACACAGGGAAAGCCCTTCAAGAACTTGGGTCTTGTGAAAACCTGTGGGCTGTTAACTTCATCTGTCTCCTGCAGGAAGAAAGGCACCGCTGGCTGTTCCCAGCAGCAGACAAGAGGAATAGATCATTTCATGCTCAGCTATTGGGGAATTTAAACTCCCTCTGTAAGGCAAGTGAAGCAGAGCTGTATTGTGAGAATTGCCGGTGCAAGGAGAAAATCTCCATTTGTAGATTTTACATCATTGACATGAGACAAAAATTAAATAGCACAGGGGATACTGAAGCCAGCCAGGTGCTCTCCAGAGTGATCTCTGAACTGCTGGAGCATTTTAGTAGTCCTAATGAAGACCTCAAAGCTGTGAGATCCAACCCTGACTGGGCAGACATAGTAGCATTTAAACTCATCCTTCGAATAAGAGAAGCCATGCTTAAAGCTCATTTAACACCAGCATCTACAAACTTTCAAACAACATTGCATCAATTTTTTGCCATTCTGAACTATGCTATCTTCTCATCTGAGAGTGTACGTAAGTGCTGGACGGAGAACGTCAATCTATCACTTCATTTCACCTCCTATGAAGGAATGTCTTTTTCCATTCCATTCTTGAGCTCAGGTGAATTTGTGTCCATTGAAGCCTTGGTAAAGGAACTGCATTATGTACAGAGCTGCCTGCTGCAGAAGGGACAGGAAAAGTTCATCAAGAAATCTAAAGAAATCCTGTCCACAATGAGCCTTAAGATCAGTCTGTTAGTGATAGCCTGCCTCATTTACCCCATCATCCTGATGTCCTTCAAGCAAATGACAGATTGGATACAGAATTATGCCAGGAACCTCAAGGAAAAGACAGAGGACTTGAAAAGGGAGAGGCAGCTAGCTGAGGACCTCTTACACCAGATGTTGCCAAAGTCTGTGGCCAAGCAGCTAAGGAAATGCCAAAAAGTTGAGGCAGAAAACTATGATCAGGTTAGCAAATGGAAAGGATGCTGTCACCAAGGATGGAAAAGTATTCACCTCAAAAAGCACCTACCTTCCCACCATGTGAAGGACCTGGTTTTGCTCGCGAAGTCGAGCGTGGATGGGAATCCAAATATTCACAATAGGCTTTTGAAAGAGCTGTGCGATGCACCATGAAGCACTTAGGCTGATGGGGAAGGAAGAAGAGCTGAAATTTCCAGAAGTGTAGCTTTAGATGTCAAAGATCCAATGTTGGCAAGTTGTCTTCTTTGGGTTTAAGAGCCTACTCATGAGAGCCAGACAGCACCATTAGATCACGAGTACACAGGAGCAAGAACTGAGTTTCCTCCTTGTAAAATGGGAAGAATCACAAAAAAACAATGTAGGACAAATCCTGTCTGTGCTTGCCAGTGTGATTCCATAAACATAACTGAAAGGAGATCATGGGACTTAGAGAAGGATGAGAGGGACGAATGATCTCGTAGCCTCAAGTGTGTAACTAATGAAGCCTGTTGACACAAAAACAAGGGCAGAATTTGGCCAGGCACCCATTTATTTGCAGATCTACCTCATAGCATGCATGCTGCTGTCAATGCTGAATTTAGCAGCTGTGCTGCACAGCCCACAGCCAAAATCCTCAGGCTACAATAATTGTAATTCTATTCACTGTTTTTCCCCTGGATGCTCCGTTACTTTCAGCTGTGAAACACAATAATAAATGTTTGCATGTAATTTATAGGTGTCATTATCGAAACAGCAACCTGTAATTGCACAATTAATTATAATTCACAATAGTCATGACATCAAAAGTAGCTGAACCACGGCAGGGAGTGAAAAGGTGGCTCTTCTGGATTAATTGGTATTATGAAGGATGAATAAAAGAACAATTTTAGTTTAAACACTGACAAAGTTCAGGCAGCACAGAGAAGAAACACTTAGTTCTTTGCCAACAGCTATAACACCCATTTCCCTTCCTCAATTCAGTTATTATGGGTTATGTTGTTCTTTCTTTTATAAATCTGATTTTTTTTAAAGTTAATTTCTCTGTAAATTACTTGATCATAACAAAAATCATTTGAAGGCAAAAAAATTCCAGTTAATATTTCCTAATTCAACAAGTGCAGAGACAGCAGTTGAGTTTTTATTTTGCAGTTTGTTCAAATACCTAGTTTTGATCTCTACCACAGTTTAAATTACTTTAAAAGAAAAATCAGGCCTGACTTCCATAAGAAGTCTATTGATCACTGCTCACAAGATTCAAAGCATTTGCCTTTCAGTCTCCCATCTAGCACAACATATTCAGAGAAGCGCAGTCAAAGTAATAGAGAACAATTCAGAGCCAGAGCTTGTTAATTTAGGATTGTATCTATTCAGTTCTGCAACACTGGTCCTACGTGCAGCCTGTGCCTTAGGCTGTTCTGCTCAGATTTTCACAAATCCCCAAACTCTTCCAAGGCTCTGCCACTGTTGTCTGGAGACCTTAGCTTCACACTTTCCTTCTCCCTGTGACAGGTGACTATCTTTTTCTCGGATATCGTGGGGTTCACCAGCATTGCTGCCTCCTGTACTCCCTTGCAAGTTGTTGAGATGCTCAACAATCTGTACGTCTGCTTTGACGGCAGGATCGAGTCTTACGATGTTTACAAGGTGAGTACAAACCTGCAGGCAAGGAATCTGGAACCTTAATTACTTTGTTCCCTAGTGAATATCAAATACACCAGGCCAGCTGGCCAAAAGCCATGAAATCCAAGACCTGCCACTGCACAGGGACTACACCACAGCCTGGCAAGTGGTGGACAGCAGAGATATATTTTATTCTGATCTCATTTTAAAAGAAAAACTTGGTGCCTGCCACTTAGTGATGTGTGCCCCTTCCCATCAGGTGGAAACCATTGGTGATGCCTACATGGTAGTGAGTGGCCTGCCAGAAAGGAATGGCACCAAACACGCTGACGAGATTGCCAAAATGTCTCTGGATCTGGTGGCAGCAGTTCGTCAGGTTGTGATCCCTCACATGCCAATGGGCAGATTGCAGCTGCGGGCTGGGATACACACAGGTACGTGGGCTGAGGTGGAGGCATGAGAAAAAGAGCTCAGGACACAGTCTGATTGTGTGAGGAGACAAGAGTTCTGCATTTCTGTACGAGCCATTGGCTCACCACAGGACCTCGGGATGAGTATTCCTCCTGGTTTCAGCAGTAACAGGGACTTTTGCTTGCGTAAGTGTGGAAAGGGCTGTGAAACAATTTAATATAGGCAAAGTACCTCTTCCCCTGATAGCAGCACCAATTAGCTACAGCTAATCAAATCATGACTTCTCTCCTTAAGTAAATACTGTGCAGCCAGGCCCTAGATGCTCTGAGCATTCCCAGTTCCCATTGCTCTCTGATGATCCGAAGGTGACTGCATTTGGTATCTCCTCACACTTTTTCCACTTGTTTCTTATTGGGGTCCCCCTGCTTCATTTTTTCCCAGGACCCTGTGTAGCTGGAGTTGTGGGGTACAAAATGCCTCGGTACTGCCTTTTTGGGGACACTGTAAACACAGCCTCTCGCATGGAATCCACCAGCTTGCGTAAGTGACTGAGGCACAATCTGTATGTTCCTTATGTACCAGTCAGGCTCACACCTGCGCTCCACATCTCTTCGGTACTGCAGTGAAGAGAAAACTCCTTACACCCCCTCACATTGGGCATGGCCAAGTCCAAAATAAGGTTCATACATGAGAAGGAGCATTCTCTGTGGCATATCCCAGGCTAGAGAACTTATTACCGGAGATCTAAAGAATCAGCACATGCATGACCTGCAGTCCCCACTATCCCTGTACATACACCAGTGAGCAAATAAGCAAAAAAACCTCTTGTGTACTCACATGGGCAAGTAGAGACACATCCCTTATGCCATTTCTGGGAAGTGATTGGAAATAAGAGGAGAACGAGGGTGACAAAAGCGAAATAGCAAAAGGTAAGCTGAGTTTGGTTTTAAGGATTTTAACAAAAAGGCATTAGGTAGAAACACCATGGCTGCATAGAAGAGGGCAGTGCATGTTTTCTTGGTCCAGCCTTTTATGCTGCCTTTGCCACCAATATCACCCATTTTTACTGGTGTACAATGCTGTTGTGCAGAGACACCCCGTGCAGCACTGCACAGTCACGTCAGGGGGTCTGGTAACCTGCTGAATTGCTTCCTTGTTCTAGCTGACACCTGTGTACAGTGTCACAGAATCCTCAACCAATGTTTAAGGCATCTTCCCCTTCTTTGTGCTTCTTCCTCAATCTGATATTTTCCAAAGAGAAGGTGGAAACACTGAGCTGATAAGTGCAGGAGGGCTGGTGTGTGGTCTCTGGGAATAGAGGACTCATTACTTTCTAATGCTCTGTTTTGAATCCTAGCACAGAAGATCCACATCAGTTCTGCTACGTATGATGCCCTTCTCACAGATGATGCATATGAAATTGAGCTGAGAGGAGAAATTGAAGTCAAGGTAACAGCTTTTCTGTAACTTTGCAACAGTAAAGGAGTTCAATGAGATAGGAAGGAGATTATAATAGATTTGGCCATTGTTGTTCTGGGAATTGCAGGTCAGTTTTTAACTGTGGCCCCAAGATTCTCTTGCTAATTCAGTTGGAAGCAGCTATACATTATTCCTCCTAATTGATGCAAAACTATTACTGTGTGCTTTGAAATACAGGTGCTATGTCTACACCCGCACGGAACCACATGAATATGGGTGCAACTGTTAGGATTCAGTTACAAAAACACATGGTGTAAGGCTGATTTTAAACCCTTAGCAACACTGCCAGTGACCAGCAAGGCCTTTCTCTGACCTGAAAGAATTATTAGCTCCCAAACCACATATAAATTACAATTCTTTACCCAAACAGCAGCCACTTATGAGAGAAGGAGAGAACAAATACGGTACAGGTAGTAGCCCTGGCCATAGTGATTCTCTGCTCTGCTTCATATCATATGAAAATAGCTGTTTTCTGCTCTCTCCTTTTTCTCGTCCCAGGGCAAAGGGAAAATGAAAACCTACTGGCTTCTTGGTAACAAGAATTACAGTGTCCAAAATGACAGCCTGGTGTGTCACTGGAATCCAGCAATCTCTAAGAGAAAGAAGATGGAAAGTAGCCAAGGATCTGTCCAACAAGTAAGGAGGTGAACATTTAGGAGAGTGAGATTTCCTAGATAATGAGCCATTCACCAAGGGCTAAGATAAGTAGAACTTGCATCTTTGTCCTGCAAGCAGAGGGCTCTGCTGTGTACAACTACAAGCTCTAACGTGTGTTCCTCTCTGTCATAGCATAGTGCAGGCGCTGTGGGAGCAGCACCAGCTAAACAGAACCTGGCAAAATCCTGGGATAAGCTGAGCCCTGACAGTCACTCTCAAGCCAGTTCCAGACCAGCCTGGACCCCTGAGAGTGTCACCCATGGCACGAGCCAGAAGCAGAGGAATGGCTTTCATCAAAGCTCCCACCAGAGCCTCCAGGAGAACCTCACTTCATTGGGTTTGTCTGCTTTGGGAGAAGGTGACAAAGCTGTCAGTTTAGAACACAGAGCACAGCTTGGAGACTCTGGTATTAAAGCAATGCAGGAAAATGAGTTTCTCCCAGGTTTTGTAGATGAAATGTGACAGGATAAGAAATTATTAGACTGCTCCAGGCACACACATTTCTTTTAAATAATAATATCTTTTTGCTCTTAGCCACAATTCACATTTTTAACTAGTATGTTTACTTGGCATCCTAAAACACCAACAGAAATTTAGAAAGGTGTCTCTAAACAAGGAGAGGCTACAAAAGTGCAGGTGGAGTTCCATCAGGAACATGAGTGGTAGATAAAAGATGTACAGCGTGACTCCTTTCACTCCAGTAAAGCTATTCTAGATTTATATTTGTAGTTGACACAGAATCTAGCCATCGAAATCCAGACATGGTGAGGACACTTTCAGAACCTGAGCCAGTTTATTTCAAGCTAGTCTATACATCTCTCCAGTAAACTACTGCTTGCAAGGTGTGTATAACTGTAGATAGTAGGAGAGGGAGTAGTGAGACCCTGATGGAGAAGAGGAGAGGGTAATAACTCTTTTTGATCATTGTTTCAGAGATACAAATGAAGTGGGAACAATATCAAATTACTTCTGTTAAGTCTTTGCAGCACTTTGTCTTTCCAGCTCTTCTCCACTACAGAGGAATCCCCTCTCCATATGTGTATTTTTTTTTTTACAGTCTGGCTGTATAGAAGACATTAGAAGGACAAGCTATTTCTCCCATCAAAATTGTAATTTGCTTTTCTTTCCTTGTTGGAGGAAAAGACACCTCTGCAGTGATGAGTAGAGCATAGTAAAATCCTCTTCTATGTATGACTTGGAGAAATCAAAGCAAACTCAATTACTTCCTCACATTGGCAATTAGTAACTCTAGATGGAGTTCAATTCATTTGTAAGTGGGCTGCACACATCATTACCTCTACTCTGCTAGCCACCTTCTTCAAAGAACCCAGAGTGAGGGAACCATTCTGATGGGAACAGAGGCAGGAGTGCAGGGGAGAGGGTTTGGCTTGTCTCCTCTCCCAGTCAACAGGTTCATGTAGAGCATCACTACCACATAAGAGAAAGATTTTAACAGATTCAAATTCTTTTCAAGGGAGGCAAAGCAGTGCTTAATGGTTGCAAAAGGCAGTAAAAATAAAGGTATGTATTTAAGAGGAAATCAAGCTTGGAAAGCTGCAACTGGTCTTTGTTTTTATTTTTTCTAAAATAAAAGTAGCTTTATGAACTTCAAAGGAAGCTGGTTGTGATATCTCTGTATCATTCACTTGGCTAATAAGAACAACTGAAAAACCTCATATAAATTGTCTCCTTACAGGATGAAAGCCAAGAGCTGCTTCTTTCAGTCAGCTCAGGAGTGTCTGTGTGGCTCTATGCAAAGCAAGCTCAGCCTGAGGTGATGAGGTCAACTTGCTCTCAATGGCTGGGGATCTCTGAAGGTCAGCTAAAGAACTATTTTGCCTTGTAGATAAATAAGCCAAAATTGGAGGCTGAAATATTCATATTCACAGTAAATGTAATAATGAAAAAGAATGAACCACAGAACTAACTCTAGCATTAGTGTCTTATGAATCAAGATCAAGTGTCGTTCTAAAAAAATATATTCACCAGTTCAAGCAAGAATTGTTATTTCAAGCAAATTCAGTGGTTCAACTCATGCAGGATTTTGCCTCAATGATCACAATGGTCACTCCAGTCTCACAACTTACAAAAACCTAACATGATATTTTGCCCATCTCAAGCACAACTTCTCTTCCTACCTCCCTAATTCTCAGAACTTACCTACATGGAATATTTACACCTGTGCAAATAAAATTTCACTTCTGTTAAAAGATATCTGCAAGCACGTGGTTAGAATTTTCCCATTGAGGTAGCTGGTAAGTTGCTTCAACACTTTCACACCAAAGAAAACAAATGTAAATCACACTACAGCAAGTTGCATCACAGGAAGGCATGAAGAATACAAATCAAACACTTAAAAAAACCAAACCAAACCACCACCTTTTAAAAGTCAGTCTCTTGAATCCAAGGGGATAATGGTCTGTTGGTTTATTTTAAGTGCTTGATGATGATGTTACTGGAGATGTGTGGAAGCTGCACAGGCATACAGACACAGCATTAAAAAAAACACACAATCACATGGACTCAAAAAGCCACATAAATATCTAGGTTGATGCCCAGTAGTGATACTGAAAGGCTGGAATCCTTTCATCTGGTTCCTGTCAGCACTCAGCAAGTGGGATCAAATGTGAAAAAAAAAAAAGGAAAAAAAAATAAAGGAAAGGGGGGATAGAGATTAATGTTCTTGAAGATTCATGACTTTCAAGTCAGGGAAGGAAAATGCCTCAGGTGCACATATCCCTTCACAAGCAGGCATGAAAGGAACACCACTGGGGAGAGGGAGAGGGACAGCTGGGTACCACAGGGCAGCTCAGAGCCACAGGAGCCCCACATTGTCTCCAATTGTTATGAAAATCCTGGGTCAAGATCAGAGGCAAATAATTTGCATGGAAAATTGAGCCTGTTCTGATCTTCATCTCTTCAGAGGCTTCAATGTGGATTTTTAATTTAGAAAATAGTAGAAAATGGCCCTGTGTGCTTGATGATAGACGGCAATTAGTGTTTATTAACAAAACATGCTTTGGTGCAACTCTGAACAGTCCCTCTCCAGAGAGGAAGGAGGAAGTCATGAGCTGCTTTCTGTGTATATGGCTGATGTTTTGATGGTGGCTTGGTTTACAAAGATTTTTGGGTTGTCTATGCCTAACATACAACAACCTTTGGAGTGGATGAAGGCTGAGGCTGTACCAGGCTGACTAGCCTAACTCTGAGACTGACTTTTCGTAAGATAAAACATTTTCTAGGCTGAAAACCTGGGTCTAGATGAGACTAACACAAAATCTCAAGCTTCCTCTATGACAGGGTAGTGGATTTCAACCTAGCCAAAGGCACACAGATATACTTTCAACTAGACAAATCCCGCAGGGATGAAAATAGTTTCCACTTTTGAGTTTGACATACAAAGTCTGTTTCTCCATAGCCTTTCCTGAGTATCACTCAAAGGTTACACTTCATTTCAATAAAGATCACACAGATTATTTTAGCCACCCTGCACCAGTCATATTGCTGAGTTACATGGGATGCAGAGTCTGGAAAATAAGCTGTCCAGATCCTCTCAGCAGATCTAGAAACAAGAATCTCTGCCTCCCGCTTCAGGCAGCCTGTTCACATCTGAATTCTCACAAGGCCAGAGTAGGGTGGTACAATAATCAGCATTTTCCCAGACTGAACGCCAGGTGTCATTACAGGCCTGCCTGATAAATGGTGCATTCAGTCCTTTAAACATCCTTTTGGGTTGCCAAGACTAGACTCCAGTCCCATAAACACTTTATCACGAGCAGGAAAAGCAGAAGAAGGGAATGGTACTGAGTTGCCACAGCATTTCCCCTTGAGATGGAAAAGAACAGAGAAGCTAGAAGGGCAAAACAACTTTTAAGACAAGGCTTTAAATGGGAACATGCCCTTGAAATCAGAAAGCAGGTAAAAAGGGAGGCAGGTTAGTAAGATGAAATAGAAAATGGCACATACCCTGGAGTGTCTGTCAGCTTCTAGCTGGCCCTGATTCCCAAACCCAGTCTGGCAATGACTGTTCCCTACTCTCACATATTCCAGGACAGTTGGGAAGGTCTCTATGGCCCACATGCAGAAATGGAAGTAAAAAAATATCAAGGTTGAGCACTTGGCTGTGCTAACAACTTATTCAATGACCTCCAGTAAGTCACCTAACCTGTTGGCTCTGCACTGCTTTTCAGGGTGTTAAAAAGTTTGTTATTAATGATGTGTCAAAATGAGAATGGGGTAGGAAGCTGGAAACAAAAATAGTTCATTTAAATTAATCAGCTTGATTAAGTTCTTGCCAGTGACATTTCAAAGACCCTGTGTGATACTGCAGGAGAAAGAGAGCAAAAGCTATTGCAGACTGTGCAGTAATTCAGGTGCTCACCCAGAGTGGAGAAGTCCTGTCCCCCAACTTCCTTCTGTCCTTCCACTAACATGCTGGCACACTCCCAGCTCCTACTGGGATGCTCAGCACATGAAGTCCTACAGCCACTGTTGTTCTCATCCATTAAAGCCCAGCTGGAGCCAGGTACCAGAGGTTTGGCCTTTAGAGTATTCAGTAACACCGGCCACTTTGCACTCACCTTATGTGAGCCAACAGTATTTTTAGTCCTCAGCTGAATGATGGCAAGCTGGGAAGCTCCCATGGCTAACAGTCTCACACCCTGCAGAGGCTAGGCCATGTTCCCAATGACCCTGGCAAACCCCAGGGTAATATCCTCAGGGGCTATTCTCCTTTGTCTCATGTGCCTGCTTTCAGAACTGCTCAGAAAAGACCCCATGGACGAGTCAGGCCAGGATCCAGTTAGATCCCCAAGGGCTTTTTGCCTTTTCCTGTTTATCCTTCAAGACATGGTGCACTGGAGACTGCAGGGAGTTCATTAGCTGATCAACTGACCTGCAGATACAAGGAGCTGCTTAATTAGTAGGTCTAAAGGAACATAAGGGGGATGTGCGTCACTCCCAAGAGAGTGACACAAAGACAACAGCTGCCTGAAACATTTTTTCCTTTCCTATTTAGAGAGTTCTTTAAATACATGGCTTTTTACTCTCTGCTAATTAAAAACAGCAGTTCAAGCTTGCATTGATCCTTCAGTACAAGAGCTTGTATGTTCAAGCTCATGGCAACAACAAAAGGCAGGAGCATAAAACCCCAGTGATTTTGTGGAGTTTATGCTCCTTGTCTTCACCTCACAGAACTCCTAATTCTTCTGTAAGTGTTTTTTACTTGTTCTCAAAGCAGGTCACTGCTGCACACGCCCTTCAAAGACAGCACAGACAGATATAAACGGACTTTGCTATGGGATCAGAACCACAGTTTATTGGCTCCTAGGCCAGTCCTCATCTAGTTCTGTCCCAAAGAGAAAGGATGGTGATTAGGGCAATTGTCCTAGGTAAACCACAGAGGACAGTGAGTGTCTACTCACTCAGGACACCGAGGGCACTACTATAGGATACTACTACACTTGCACTATACTTCTAAACTATACTGCTATACATGCACTGTACTTCTAAACATCATATCTGGCTGCAGCCAGTCCAGAAAACAACATGTTCTTTCTATTGTAAAGTCCTTGAAATACAGAACAACTCATCCAGATTGGACCAGATCCATACAATTTTGTGATGTGCCATCACCTGAGTTTCTGCCTCTCTGGAACATTTCTGTCCTCACTTAGCTCAGTATGGGTCTAACAGTGACAACAGTTTCCCCACTGCACTGTTCAGTATTTCTTACTGCCCAAATTTAGGCTGACAGAGGCCTTAGTGTGGAGCCTGAGCACTAGGGATTTTGTTTTTAAACTCTCAAGAACATGCACAAGGCAGGAGAGAGTCAGAGTCTATTTCAGGAAGGTGTTTGTGGCAGTCAGGCTAAAATTAGACCATTTGTTCCTAAAAAGACTGTGTCGAATGACAAGCATTTGGCAAGAGGCTCTTCAGTTGGGAAT